CCCCCGGCGCAGCCAGCCCCCGTGCCCTCGCGGGGGCCCTGTGTGGCAGCCTCAGCAGCAAGAGGAAGAAGAGGATGATGTACCTGACGACGAAGAACGCTGGTGAGTGTCCCCAAGGGGAGAAGGGGACAGTCCCCGGGTCATGCTGATGGTGGCACCTCACAGGATGGGCTGCTGGGGGGTTCCCACATCACCCGACCGGGGTCTCGTGGTGGGAGGGGTGCCATGGTGGGTGATTTCCCTCTCCCTGGTGCAGAGTTCGACCGCCACGAGCTGCTGATCTACGAGGAGGTGGCCCCCATGCCCCCCTTCCGCAGGAAGACGCTGGTGCTGCTGGGGGCGCAGGGCGTGGGGAGACGCAGCCTCAAGAACAAGCTCATCATGTCAGACCAGGCTCGTTATGGCACCACCATCCCCTGTGAGGACCCCCCCGTCCCCTGCCAGCCCCCCCTGTCTGTTCCAAGCATCCCTCTCCCTGCCAGCATCATCATCTCTCACCAGCATCACTGTCCCCTCCGGTGTCATTGTCCCCTCCCCTGCAAACATCCCTGTCCCTCTCCTGCATCCCTGTCCTCTACAAACCTCCTGGTCCTCTGGGAGCATCCCTGTCCCCTAAGGAGAATCCTTGTCCCCCTGTGACATCACTGTCCCCTAAGGAGAATCCTTGTCCCCCTGTGACATCCCTGTCCCTTCTGAGCATCCCTGTCCCCTGTGACATCCCTGTCCCCTAAGGAGAATCCTTGTCCCCCTGTGACATCCCTGTCCCCTGTGACATCCCTGTCCCTTCTGAGCATCCCTGTCCCTTCTGAGCATCCCTATCCCTTCTGAGCATCCCTGTCCCTTCTGAGCATCCCTATCCCTTCTGAGCATCCCTGTCCCTTCTGAGCATCCCTGTCCCCTGTGACATCCCTGCCCCCACAAGTCTCACTCCCTCACCAACATCCCTACCCCTTCCAAGCATCCCTGCCCCCTGCCAGCATCCCCATCCCCTGGGAACATCCCCACCTCCTGCACAGCCCAACCCACCGGGCTACCGCGAAAACACACCCTTGGGCACGGGGTGCAGCGCTGTGGGTGCCCCTCGTGGGGGGGGTGTGTGTGTGTGACACTCAGGCAGGTGACACCCACCTGTGTCACCCCCCCCCGGGGCAGACACGTCGCGGAAGCCGAAGGAGAGCGAGAGGGATGGGCAGGGCTACCGGTTCGTGTCGAGGGGGGAGATGGAGGCGGATATCAGGGCGGGGCGGTACCTGGAGCACGGCGAGTACGAGGGGAACCTCTACGGCACCAAGATCGACTCCATCCGGGCCGTGCTGGGCGCCGGCAAGATGTGCATCCTGGATGTCAACCCCCAGGTGAGGGGACACACCCCGAGGGGTGGGCCAGGCTGTCCCACTGGAGTCCCAGAATGGTTGCAAAAGACCTCGAGGATCATCGGGTCTTTCATCAGAGGAGACAGTGAGAGGAGCAGGGGTGATGGGGAGAGGGAGGTTTAGGGGAGGTGTTAGGATGAAGTTCTTCACTCTTAAGGGTGGTGAGGAGCTGGGATGGGTTGCCCAGGGAGGTTGTGGGTGCCCCAGCCCTGGAGGTTTTTAAGGCCAGGTTGGAGGAGGTTTGTGCAGCCTGGGCTGGTGGTTCCCTGCTCATGGCAGGGGGGTTGGAGCTGGATGATCTTTAAGGTCCCTCCCAACCTTCATGATTCTGTGATTCTATTCTATGATCCTAAGTCCAACCATTAACCCCTCTTTACTGAGTCCACCACTAACCCGTGTCCCTCAGCCCCCACCCGTGTCCCTCAGCCCCCTGCCCGTGTCTCTCAGCCCCCTGCC